ATAATTTGGCAAAATGGATGTACTCGAAACTAAAATTCCTCCAAGACAACTCGGATGCCTCAGTCCGCTCAGCTTCCAAATTCCTGGCAAACCTCCATGGCCGAAGGGTTCAATCAAACGAAATGATCGTCTCCTTTGATGTGAAATCATTATTAACATCCATTCCACTGAGTTTGAAACGAGACGTCCTGCGCAGGAAGCTTGAGAAGCTGTATGACGAAACACAGAGTCCGCTCAAAATTGAACACCTCATGAGGCTGTTCGAATTTTGCCAAAAGACATACTTGTCTCAGCGATCGATTCTTCCTCTTCTCAATACTTCACCTTTGCAGGAGCGACTTATGAACAGACCAAGGGAACTCTGATGGGCTCCCCAATCTCCGGTTTAATAGCAGAATTGGTCCTACAAGAACTAGAAAAGATTGCCTTCACCCATCAGCCCCTGATCTTTTGGCGCCGTTACGTTGACGATACGTTTGTTATCGTCAAAGGGAACATGCTGCAGAATTTTCATGATCTTCTCAATTCGATCTTCCCAGATACACAATTCACGAGGGAAGAAGAAAAGGATCAACAGCTAGCCTTCCTTAATGTACTCGTCATGCGAACTTCCAATGGCCAGATTGAAACAACGGTTTACAGGAAGGCGACAAACACCACACAGCTTCTCAACTTTTACAGTAACCATCCGGTGGCTCACAAACGAAGCTGCGTGAGAACGTTGTTCAAAAGAATCCAGACTCACCGCAGTAATCCGGAGGTAAAATCACGGGAGGCCCGATATCTCCGCAAATAATTTATGCGGAATGGCTATCCGAAGGCCTTCATAAACCGATACCGACGTGTCCGCCCTCCGAGGACCTGACCAGAACCTACCCCTACGATATGGCATGCGCTGCCATACATGAAGGACGTGGCGGAAGCGACGAACGCATTGCTGCGGGACTAGGCGTCGGAATTGCGCACAGTCCCAAGGCTGCCATGCGCAGCCGGATCATGAGAATAAAGGAGCGATCAAGTCCCAGTGAGCAGTTGGGCGTAGTATATCGCATACCATGTCTAAACTGTCTCCGAAATTATACCGAACAGACAGGACTAA